ACCTAGTGTTTCTGTGATTCTGTGAATATACTTGAAAATTATAAGTAAAGCACAGGGCATTTTAACATGGCTTTATACCCAGCAAACCTTGTTTTATTTTACATTCTTTGAGTAGATTCTGATGTCTCTGTGCTACATATATTTATAGCAGTAAAATAAGTATGTCTAGACTGGCAAATCTAGGAGTAGCTCCAAGCCTGTGAGTGTGAGTTTTGAGATGTAACTGGAGTACAAATTGAGGCCAGACCTAATTTCCCACTGCTGCCATCACAGCTTCTAAGAAAGCTAGGCTATGCAAAGAGGATAGCTGTGCAGAGTTCCTGCAGGTGATGAGCTGGGACAATGGTAGGAAATGCAGTTTCTGCTCAGTTTCAACACACTTCACTGGGTAAATGTTTCCTTGCTTCAGGATGCCCCTCACCCATGTGTCTCCAGGATATAGGGACTACAACTCCTCATCTGATTTACAGATGTGTAAGAGACAAAACTGACTTAATGAGATGAGCCTGAAAACAGGAGTGAAATAGGTAGAATTCCTCAGAAGTCTACAGACTGTCAATTTTCTCCATTCACAAATAACATGTTGGTTTGGGTTTTTTGGTGTTCTTGGCTGGTTTAATTTTTCAGCCCAACTCCCTAATCTTCTCCTTCCTCTCACCCTTCTCACCACAAGATTATTCCTTTTCTCTATCAGAATTAGTCCTGAGACTTTTCAACTAACTACTTAGGTGATCTTCGTCGCTATAAGTCAGCAACAGCTTACTGATTTCCATAGTCATCAGATAGCCACCATAGTAAAACTTCAGACCCAAACCTGTAGTTTGCTAATCGGTTGTGTTTGCAGTTCATGCTTACACAGTTATGCAACCACAAACAATTGATACTATGGTTAAAAGTCTGAACTTAGTCTCCTTCAAGGGATGTACATGAAGGTATACTGTCAGAAAATAAATGGAAGTATCAATTTTGTATGTATTTAAAGTGAAGAGCTGGTTAGATTTCTGATTGTCTTCAGGCTTTTTCTTTTGTCTTGAATGCCAACATCTCCCTTTTTTCCAGGTAGAATTTGTGGATGAAGAACAATGTGATCGTAGGCTTACCAGTCACATAAATCTAATTGACCTGGCTGGCAGTGAATGCTGCTCAACAGCTCAGACCACTGGAGAAAGGCTGAAGGTAAACCAAGATTGGAAATCTGTGGAAAAGGATTGTCTCCAGAGAATGCTCCTAAACTCTGAAGCATACTTACCTACCAGGGCTCTTGGGCAGGAACTGTAGTTATAAAAGAATATGTAGCCCTTATGTGTGTAAGTATTGCATAGCATTTTGCTAGTGAGGGTGGATGGCTCTAAGAAGCCGTTTTGACTGTGCAGTATGGCAGGCTAGATTTTGCTCAGGACAGCATTCCCCATACTGTGCAGGCCTAACAGTCCTGTAGAAGGAATGAGGAAAAAATGTCTGCATGACAAGTCATGATTCAGATATTGCACAGAATTGGGGCTTGCCTCTTTTTTAAGGATTTAGGTAAATAGAGTTTCTAATAAGAGACTTTCTTTCAAGCTGCCTTCATAAGTTTGATGGTTCTTAACAGTGCTTATTTTAAACCCCGTGTCTCTGTTCTTTCTAAACGAAGATCTTCAAGGATACTCTGGCATCTTATTGTAGTTTTTTAATCAGTGATGACATTTAATATGGTACAGGTGTACCATACATTGAATAAGCACAATTAAATCAACTGTACAGTCAATAACATAGCACAAGAAAATACAACTTTATTATAATTATTTTTATTTTTGCTTTGTGTAGGAGGGTGTGAGTATCAATAAATCACTGTTAACCCTTGGAAAGGTTATTTCTGCACTCTCTAAACAATCTCAAAATGGAAAGAAAACTTTCATTCCTTACCGGGAATCTGTCCTTACTTGGTACGTACACTTCAGAATTTTTTCTATAGAAGTAAAGGCTTTCTCAGATTGTAGATTCCCCTTCTATACAGGAGGCATCACTTCCCCTTCTTGCCTCCTCTCTCTCAAATGACCTATGGAGGGAAGAAGTAGCCTGTTGCATCAGGTAAAGAACAAATACGACCTTGATTGGTATTTTAAGTAGCTAACAATCACTCTCAAATAAGTAGCAAGATTCTAAGTATTTTGTATTTAATCTGTTCAGCTTGAGTAGCTTAATTTTTCTTTCAATACGTGGGCCGGGGATTGACTTCTACTCTCCTGTCAAATGAAGGTTGTTAAAGGAAAGTCTTGGTGGAAATTCACAAACTGCTATGATTGCCACAGTAAGTCCAGCTGCCAGCAGTACAGAAGAAACACTCAGCACTCTTCGCTATGCAAAACAAGCTTGTTCAATTATCAACATTGCTAAAGTAAATGAAGATGTGAATGCCAAGTTAATCAGAGGTGAGGTTGAAATCTGAAGTCTTTGTGGGTTTTTCACTTGCATGTGTGTTTAACTTATTGCTCCATAAATGTTGTTACTACTGATAATCTATTCTGTTGACTTGTCAGCTAGGCTAATACTGCCTAGGATATCTTCCTTTTAATATCATTCTTCTTTGTGAGCTTTTTTTTTTTTTTGGCCAAAGTTCAGATGATATCTTAGGCTACACTTGAGGACCTGGAATAGGGAAAGGTGTTTCATTTTTAATTAAATAACAGGATGAATTTTCTAGTATTGTACTGAAATGTCTAAACCCTATTTTGTCTTGATTTTTTTATGTGTACTGTGTCTGTTTTGTCTAATGTAGAATTGAAAGCTGAAATTGAAAAACTCAAGGCAGCTCAGAAAAGCACTCTGAACACTGATCCTGAAAAATACAGACGTTATTTGCAGGAAATAACATCTTTGAGGGTAAAATTGCACCAGCAGGAGAGGGATATGGCAGAAATGCAAAGGTTGGGTGGTCATTAACGTCTTACTTTAAAATAGAAATGGTAAAGTTTATATGCTGTAATTTTTCTCCTAATATGTTGTGTTATTTTCCCCTTAATAAATTTAAGGGCCTGGAAAGAAAAACTTGAACAAGCAGAAAAAAGGAAATTAGAAGATATAAAAGAGTTGCAGGTACATTTTCTTTCTTCACTTTCTATAAGAGAGTGCAGAAAATACAGTATCAGCAAGCCTTGCAGAAGAATTAGAGTAGCTGTAGGATTTGGTTTCCTTAATGCTATTCTTTTAATGGTCTACTGTGACTCCTTAGAAAAATTTAATACAGATATTTGAATGCACAAAGTAAATTGTTTTTTATGCAGAGCTCTTTTTTATCTAGAAAGCAGGGATTGCATTCAAAATGGACAATCATTTACCAAACCTTGTCAATCTCAATGAAGATCCTCAGCTTTCTGAGGTGCTGTTGTATATGATCAAAGAAGGAGAAACTACAGTTGGAAGGTATACACCAAATTCGAAACATGATATCCAGCTTTCCGGAGTGCTAATTGCTGATGACCATTGGTATGTAGTGTTCTTTTCATACTTGAAATGAGAGCAGGAAATATTTCTTCTCCCTTTTCCCTTTCTCTTGGAGTCACTCTTCCTTCTTGGTGGTAACCAAACGATTTTCTAAACAGGAAAATACTGTCTAGGGAGAATTTTATACTGTTCAATGATTAAGGTAACTTCCTTCTGTTCCCTCTAGAAATCTGTTTACCAAGGTAGTTTAATTTCTTTATTTCATTCATGTAGCTACATTTTCTATTCATGCAAAAATACTGGAGAAAGACCTGATCAAATGATGCTGTGTGATAACTCTATTACATTAAGTTAAATGGAAAAGTGAAATGCCTTGACAGTTCTTACTTAAAACTAAAAGGAAAACGCAGCCTGGCCATATTGCAGAAATACTGTTTAAAGTGCATTCCATGCAATTGATCCTACACAAGATGCTGGAAGAAACGTAGCTAATCAATTACTAAAAACATGAAAGATGTGGGTATGTTGGGAAATTAAGCATTATCAAAGAAATGCTCAGATGACAGAGTGTTATAGTAATTTTTTAGCTAATAATTTTTCTTTGATTTAAATATTGATTCTCTTCTAAAATATAGGCTGTCGCTCATTAATTTTGTATGTTGTACCTAAATACTATGAAGACAAATTCGCATCTGGAAAACCAATAACAGGACGCTATCTAAAGCATGAATTTTAGTCTATTAAGAAACATCATTTGCAATTAATGTGAGCTACTGAAACCACACTATTTCTTGTTTTCAGTGTTATAAAAAATACTGTTGGCAAAGTGAGTATTATTCCACTGAGAGAAGCAAAGACATATGTAAATGGAAAATGCATTGTAGACCCAACAGTTCTGCATCATGTAAGTAACTGATCTGGTAAGAGTAGTATGTGCATGTGTGTGTTTCTTAGCTTTGTTAATATTAAAACTTCAGGCTGCAGGTTTTCTTAGAAAGCTCTGAAACCATAAATGTGTGTCTCTTCCTCTTTGATTTCAAGCCCCACCTGTTATGTTTTAAGTACTGTAAATTTGTTTATAAATCTAGAAGTTACAGAACAAACTTTCCCCCTTTTCTAATAGGGTGATCGAGTGATCCTTGGGGGAGACCATTATTTCAGGTTTAATCATCCAGTAGAAGTTCAGAAAGTTAAAATGCCGGTTTGTGGGACTACGTTTTTGCATGATGGTCCAAAAGATTTTGAATTTGCAAAGAATGAGCTGCTTGTTGCACAGAGGACACAGTAAGTATTGTATCTTCTCGTTCTAAACATAAATTCAGTTGTTAATGCAACAAGTTAAAGAAATAAGGAACTTAAGATTATTAAATATTTCACAGTAAGGGAAAACTGGAAAATAGCAAGGTTATTATTAGCTCCATAATGGAAATGGAAGTTCCAGACACTGCTGAAATGAATGTGTACCTCGAAGAGGTGATCACCACAATCTAGTCCAGTTGTCAAGAATGTAGATCGCAATTAAACAAACACTGAGCTCCAGAGGTCCTCAAAATAGTGTATCTCTTCTGTTACATTTCTCTCCAAGCACATGATGAGTCTGACTTTTGTTGTTTTAGAGAGATTTATAGCCTGAGAAGCATATGCATTGGGAAAATGAGAAGAACCCAAAGTTACAACCTTGGTCTTCTGTGATGGTGGAGAATTTGAGAGACAGTAAATGTTATTTGTACGTGCCTCATTCCTGGTAGTTATTAAACTGCAAGACTCATTGACTTAAAATTTACTTTTCTGCATCTTAATGTGATTTAGTGAGTTTCTATTACAGTTCTTAATTTTGTGAAAGGTACATAATAAAATAAATACAGAAATCAAGTGTATCTTAAAATTCTAGAATCTTCTCCATCTTTACCAGGTCTATATTTTCCCTATGAAATAAAAAATATCTAGGTAAATTATAAAAGTTGAGTTTAAAAAAACCCCACAAAACCAAACAAACAACACCCCCCCCAACACAAAAGAACAAAACAAACCCTTGTGTTTTTACTGTTAAAATTGGAGGTGCCTCTTATGATTAGAGAAAAGATTTTAAACTCTGTGCAGCCTATAAGAGATTAAAGCCAGTATTCTAAATATACGATACTTCCACCTGTAGGCTTGAATCAGAAATTGAAGAGGCACGACTCAAAGCCAAGGAAGAAATGATGCAAAGTGTCCAAATTGCGAAAGAGATGGTTCAGCAAGAACTGACCTCACAAAAAGAAGCTTATGAAAGCAAAATAAAATCACTGGAAGCAGAGGTGGTAAGTTGCCCATTGCATTATTACATAAAACATATCAATAAAATAAAACAGAAGCTGTAGTATAGGGTTTCTATTTTTTGTTTGTTGTTCTTCGGTTGTGATCTTTGTTTTTTTCTTTGGTCTTGCATATTATAAACAGTGTCTTAGGGAATGCTAAGCCTTTTTATTCAGAAAAAAAAACCAAACAAAAAAACTAGCCTAACTAACGCAAGAAGTTATAAAGTAGGTATGCCCTTCAGAATTATTCTAGGGATTTTGGTTTATAGAATTAGCCAGGAACTAAAATGTTAATCTGGTGTGAATTTGATGAGGGTGTTATTCTGTGAGGCTTTTAAATTACTGCAGTGTTTTAGTTAATACAGCTTTTCTTTTTCTTGCAAGTTTGCATGCTGCGTTGTTGTTAGTTCTTTAAATACTTTTATGGTGTGTATATATAAGTCTACATAGAATAGTGCATCATGGTAGAACAAAACAATGATGGAGTATCTTATTTCTTAACTGTGCTATGGAAGACATAATGTGATGCTTGTGAACTGGGATACAACCTTTTATTGCTGACACTGGGCTGAGTTAGCCCACAGGGGCTGCATGTTTTAAATGTATTGAAGTGAAAATAAATCTTAATATCTGCCTAAGGGATGGATCAGAAATGCTATAGAAGTGGTATACCTCCTCTTATCTGTCCTTTTTTATATTAGAGAGAAGAATCTCATAAGAAGCAAATCCAAGAACTGAATAACCAGAAAGCTGCAACTAAAATACGTGAGCTAGAGAAGGCAAAGAAAAATCTTGAGCTAGAACTACACTTCAATAAGAAACGTTTAGAAATGGAGACCTTAGCTACCAAGCAGGTAACTTAAAAAAAAAAAAAAAAAAAAAAAGCTTTTTTGGTGATAAACTGTGGTTTAATTTGTGTGTGGTTTGGTTTTTTTTTACATGTATCATTGTAAGTTAAATGTTTCTTAAGTTTTTTATTTCTTCTACGTGATATTATGCAAAAGAACAGGTGTCTGTCTTACACTCTGAATATGATACTGTATTAAATTTGGGGATAAACTAATGCTGACTTTATTTGTTATATAATATGGACTGTGTTGTTCATGTACCAAACTTTAGCTACCATTGCCTGTGCCAAAAATTATGACTGCAGGCATTAATGTAAGTAACGACTGGTTTCTGGCTGGTGTTCATATATATGTGACTGCTGCAACATATATGACTTAATTTTTTTTAATTGTTTCTTTTTAATTCCAGTTGTTTTTTTTAAAGCATGTCAATATCTAAGCAAAACCAGAAAACTGCCAGAGTTTGAAGATGAAGGGTTTTATATTGAAATGGCAGATGTCCAATATAAATTCCATTCTGTTTCCAAGTCCATAAAATGACAGCAACAAAAAATTTGCCTAAATAAACTGCATTAAGAGTTCTGGATTTTCTTTTTCCTTCCCCCCCCCCCCCTCCCCACGCAACCTCTC